TTATTATTCATTCATTTATTATTTATTATTTATATTTCATTTATTAAATAAAATGAAAATGAAAATGTAAAATATCAATCAATTAAATATTCATGAATAATAATTTATTAATATTTAATAATTGAAATAACAAATAATAATGTAACAATAATGATATATTCAATATATTCTTTATTTGATTTGTTCAATATTAGATTATTCTATTTCATTATCATTTCATTGTCTTCATTATTTTATTTATTATTTCATATTCATTTATTATTTTTTAAAATCAAATAAACAATAATATTGATATTCATTCATCATATTCATTTAATATAATAAATATACACAACATTTCAGAATAAATAATAAATAATTAAGAATGAAAATATTGATTATATTCAATATTTTGATCAACATAAAATCAATAAAACATATAATTTGATAATACACAAATGAAATAATAAAGAAATATACAATACTCAAGAATTAATAAAAATGAAATAAAAAGAATAAATGAATAAATTTGATAAAATTGATAAATAATAGAAGAAAGAAATAGAAAAACAATGAAAAACAAATAATATAAAAAGAATATAAATATATAAAAGAATAAAAAGAAAGTAGAAGAAGAATATAAAAATAATAAATCACAAAGATGTAATAAAATATGAAAAGAAGAAATAAAAAGTGTAATTTTAATGTAAAAATTAGAAATATGAAATAACAAGTGTCTAATTTAATGGTGGAAAATAATTAACAATGTTTTATTGTTGAAAATATTTTATTCATTTTTATATTTATTATTTATATGTATAACTTCATCATGATGTTTATTATATATTCAATCATATGTGTTATGTTATTATAACATATAATAAGTGATAAAATATAAATGAAAATGATATGAATATATTATATAGAATATAAAACAAAAGAATAATAAGAATAAATGATAAATAAAAGGAGAAATGATAATCAATGATATAATAATAAAATCAAAGTATAAAATATAAAATTAATATTAATATAAAACAAAAGAGAATAAATATAAAATGAAAATAGATATAAATGATAAGAATATAAAAAATGATAAGGATGAATAAACAAATACAACTAAATAGAAAGAATAACAATAAGAAAATCTAAATAATATAAATAGAAAAATAATAAAATAAGAAGAATATAATAATATATAGATAATAAGAATAACACAATGATATAAATAATATAAACAGAGAAATAAATATAAAAATACGATAGATAAATAACATATAAATAAAAGAATATGAATAATAAAAATAAATATGATTCATCAAATCATCTATTTCATTAATATTTCATACAAAATGAATAGAAATGATAATAAATTATAAACATAAATATTTATATATTCTGTATTTATCATACTTTTTATTTTATTTTTTATTTTAGGAGCAAAATATAATAAATGGAAAATTCTATGGATGCAAATTTTTTTGCATCTTTTTTCTTTTTTTGTAAATTATTTAGATGCATTTTTTCTTTGCTAATTTTCGTACCCTTCTTCCTTAACCAAGACTGTTAAAAATGGTGAAGATGTTTGAATAATTTTTTGATAATTAACTGACTATGTTGACAAGTCAAGAATAAGTAAATCTTCAATACAAACAGTTAATAATGGGTTAGTTTTTAATGAAACTGTATTAATTTCAATTTGTAATAGTGTGTTATGTGAAGAAATTAAATATTTGATAGAAGTGATAAAACAAGTAACATTGAGTTTATAAAATTTGTTTTGAGTGTTGTAATGGTCAATAATTTTTAGTAATTTTTTCAATAATACAATGGAGTTGATTGAGGTGAAGTTGTTGAAATAAAGCAATGATACGTTTAGAAAGATAAAACATTTCAAATGTATTAAGTACAAATGAAATAAGTGTTATTTCTAAACGAAGAGAATGTCGGTTTGAAATCGAAAAAAAATGAGGCGGTTAAAAGTAAAGAATTGAGATTGATATGTTTTTATTACAAGACAATTAATTTCAAGTACATGAACAATTTCTCTTTTAACATCATTTGTAATAATATTAATATCATTTAATGTTAAAGAAATAGTATTTTCAATTTCAAAGATAATAGTGGGGTGTTTGATAACACCATGAATAAGAATAGATTTTATTTGAAAATGTTTTAATTTAGTAAAATAAAAATTCCATAAATCTCCTTCTGTTAATAAGTGAAGAACGTAAATTAATAATTCTTGTTTTAATGTAAAAACAAATGGAGAAAGTTCAAAAGAAAGAATAAATAATTCAGATGTTTCTTGAGTTATTACTTTAAGAGTTGATTGAGTAAATTGAGAAAGAGAGTTAGTAAATGAAAGAGAGGTAATAGCAAGTGATAAACTAACAAGTCTATTATAAGTTATTTCAGAATAAATGCCATTTAATGAACATTGAAATGAGTCTAAATGAATAATTCTTGAAGAAATTGTAATATCAAATAAAGTAATTATTTCTAAATTGTTTAAGTAAGAACTACATATTAATTTAAAGGAAGTTGAATAGTTGTAAGATGTAATGAAAGATTAATTAATTTAGATGGGAAAGAATGTAATAAAGTAATTAAAATATCTCCAATAATAATTTTTGTTTGAATTTTTTAACTAAATTTTTAGTATTAGAACAGACTAAAGAAGAAGTAATAAAAAGGAATGATGTTTTAATAATTTGAACATTATTAAAAGTTACTGAAATTGATTTAAGTAAGAATTGAGAATAAAAATAATGGCTAAATAAGTCAAAATTAAATAGAAAAGAATTAAAAGAAATTTTTAATAGATTTTCATTAATATTAATAAGAAAATGTTCAATTTCTAAAGAACATTCTACATTTTTCTTTTGTTTAATGCAATGAGAAATATCAATATGTTATATTCTGAATGAATAAATAATTGACTTTGCTCAATTTTATTTAAATTATTTAAAATAACTTCTTGAATAGAAGTATTATTTTTATCTTTATTTATGTTAATTGTTTCATGTGATGATACTGAAATAACTTTGATAATTTCATTAATAAATGATAATAAATATTTAATATTATTCATACTAATTTTACATTGAATTGGTTCAAATTTACAATGAATTTTAAAAAATGGATCATTATAATGTTCTGCTAAACAGCAATAAGTTAATATTTTAAAAGTAACCAAGTGACTATTATTAAATTGTGTAATTACGTCAACAGGAATGATATTTTTTATTAAATCCTTCAATTTTTAAAGGAGGAATAATTATTTTAAAGTTATTATCTTTACCATTAATAGTTAAACTACTTTGTTCAGATTCAATTGTAATATTAACTTTAAGAAGTTGTTTTTGATATTCATTTTGTAGAATAAGAAGTTTAAAAAAAAATTCGTTTATTTTAATAAAAGAGAATTGAAAAATATTTTTAATATCAATTTTGTTAACAAAAATCAATTCAATTAATTTTTAATCATTGTTGTTGTAATTATTCCATTGAATTGTTTTAATGAAAATGAAATTTGAATTTCTGAATCACGTTTTATATCAAATTTAAAGAATAATTTAATTTGTGCACAACATGTTTGTAGTAATAATAAATTATCGATTTGACTTTGAAATTGAATAAAATTTTCTTTAAAACTTCCTTTCAAATTAATATTTTTAATTTTCATATCACCGATTTCTTCAATTGAAATAATTATATTTGAAATTGTTCCATTTAATTCTTTAGTTGTTTTATTTTGTTTAAAATCATTAAAATCAATTGAATTATAAAGAGTTTCTAAGTCTTTTGGAGATAAAGTTGCTCTATTTTTAAATGCATCTAAAAAGAGTACTTTTCATATTTAATTCTTCTTCTTCTGCATTAAAACGAAGAGAAGCTATTTCTCTTAAATAAGCTATTTCTCTTAAAGTACATTTGTTTTCAATAATTTCTATTGAATGTAATTGTTCAGAATTAAGAACTCTTCAAAGCATAATATCTACTTGACAATTAAAATATTTATATTTAATTCTATCTGCTAGTTCTTTTCTAAATATTGTATTCATTAATTGTAAGTGTATTATTTTAAATGCAAATTTCCACCATCCTTTTGGATTTTTAATTGGAGATTGTAATGGACGAATTCCAAGACATTTAATTTATTTAGAATATATACATAAATGTGAAATTAATTGAATACTTGTGGAATAAAACTATTTTTATTTAAATGACAATCACAATGAGGAATTATTAATGATACTGGTGATAATTTAATTGATATTATTGGAATATTTAATAAATAAGAATTATTATTAGTATTTTGTATTTGATGATTAATACCAATGTTTTGAATTGAAATAATTCCATTTTTTTATCAAAATTTTATCAATAAATAATTGTAGTGTTGTAATATCATTATAATTCATTGTAATTTATGAAATGGCAATTTCAATATCCTTTAATACTTCCAATTCATTTTTATCTTCGCACTCTTTTAATAATCTTTTTTTTTAATTCTTTCAATACTTTCATTTTCTTCTTCATTAACAAATTCTTTTTGTGATTCACATTTTACTGTAACCTTCAATAAAAAAATACTTAAACTGAAAGGTGTTAAACTTTGAACTATAACTTCAATGGTTTCGACTTCTCCTTGAATAATGTCAATTGGTAAATTCAATGAATAAAATACATCTTTTCTAATTCTAATCTTCTTTAAGGCTGCACTCAAACTCTTAAAACTAATATGTAATTGATTCTTTTCAATACTTTCTGTATAATCTCCAAGTAAATATGTCATAATGTGTACAAAAATCCCTTCTTCTATAATCATTGCCTATCAATAACTACTTTTAAGTTATTTTTTCCAATTTCTGTTTTGTCTCAAAAAAATAATTCTATATCATAAAAAAATATTATAAAAAAATATTAAGAATAGTGTCTTATAAAACAAATACTAAACTTTCAATCTTTGGTTAGTACTATTTTAATTAAAAACAAATTTTGTATTTACAAATAAACTCCTCTAACAGGAATAAATATCTTTTACTTATTTTTATATATATTGTGTTAAGTTGTATATAAGTTAGTTCTAATTTATTCACTAGATAACTATGTCTTTTTTATTACCTTTAAAAAAATTCAAAGATATATACCCCAACTATTGTTTGAGACGGAATGTTTGTGTTAAGTGTTATGTAAATGTATTTTAAGCAAATCAGACTTAATGTCTTATATTATAAAAATAGCTTATAAAATCAAATAATCTTCTTTAAAAAGTAATTCTGAGATGAACTAACATTGTGAAATAAGAATGTCTGAAGAGAGAAGTGGTGGTTGCAGTAGAAAAATAATACTTAAATCTATTGTTGATAAAGAAACCTTAAGGAATAGAAAACGAATATCAAGAAATAGTGAAAGTACAGTAACAAATAGCGTTATATATACATTAATAATAAAAGCAGGAGCAAGTGTTACTTTTAGAAAAAGTAAACGAACAAAACAAACAATAAAAATGTTATTACCAGAGACTATAGTTCTGAATAATACAGTTTATGACCAATCATCAATTGCAAAACTTAATTCACAATTTATGAAAGAAACTTTGAGTGAAGAACCTGTTTCTGTTGACAACATGAATAATAAACAGTACAACAGAACTCGTGAAGCTCAAATTTGTAATGGATTATTATATCTTTTAAGGTCTTCAGGATATTCATTTACAATAAGAAAAACAAAACGTGCAAAATTAACTGAACAACTAGTTAAAATTAGTTCGATTATTCTTACCTCAGGAGAGACAGTACCTATGGAACGTTTAATAGAAATTGGAATTGCCTTTCAAAGTGCAGTTGACAATTTATTTGGAAGAAATCAAACAGTTTTAATAAATAGTAATACTCTTTCAGAATATGAAATTCCATCATTAGAACAATGTGTTTCTAAACCTAATACATCTAACCAATATACTTCAAAATAGTTTGAGACTCTTATTTGATGAAAAAGATGTCTTCTTCCCAATTTAAATATTTTTATTTTTTCCTTGTACCACCTTTTTTATTATCTTAATAACACGAAATTATTGTTGAAAGTATTATTAATTCACTAGACTAACTAAACAAATAAAGTTTAATTCACTTCTTTTTTTTTAACTACCAACTTTATTACTCTTTAATAAGAAAATAATGACTAACTAAGAAGGATATTTTATTATAAAGAAATACAATTTAATAAAAAGTATGTAAAGACATGACTTATCTATTGAAGAAGTTACTTAATATGGATTAATAAATAAATATCAATGAAAACAATAAGACATTTTTTACAACTAATTTTTGAAGTATTTTGAACTGTGACAAAGGATTATAAATTTAAATTAAACTTAATAATATATTGAATAAGTAAAAGGAGAAAAAAAAAAAGAAGAGGTAATTTTATTTAATAAGGATTATTTTTCAATAATACGAATTTATTTAAATTAAACAAACATGTAATAAAATACTTGTTTACCATTAAATTAGTTTCATTAAAAGTAAAATTATTTCTTTTCATAAATAACTTGACGATATGGATTAGTTAATTGGAACATATCAAAGTCTTGATTAATTGGATATTTGATATGAATTTTGTCTAATAATTCTTTGTCAATACTAAATGAAATAGCTACAGGTTTATCTTCAGCTTTTAGTAATTGATTTGCCCAACAATCAAAAGCACATGAATTGCCTAGATATTTAGAATTCAAATGGTCAATACCAACTCTATTTGCCATAACACAATAACATAAATTCTCACAAGCTCTTCCACCACATAATAATGGAATAGAATGATTAAACATGTCATTAAAATTAATTGAACATAAAATAACATCATACTCAAGTTTAAGATTTCTTAAAAATGCGGGAAAACGAATGTCATTACAAATACATAATAAAAAGTTAACACCTTTCCATGAAACAATTACCTTTTCTGTTCCTGCAGTAAGACTTGTTTCACAATCCATTAATTTAAATAAATGGGTTTTATTGTAATGAGCAATAACACCCGTTTCATCCACAAAATACATTCTATTAAAATATTTGTTGTTGTCTTCAACAAAAATAGACCCAACAATAGCTGCTTTCATTTCTTGTGCCATTTCAGTCATCCATAAAACTATTTGTTTTCCTCCTTCTTTATGTGCAATTTTAGGTAAATCAACATCAAATCCAGTTGTAAATGCCTCAGGTAATAAATATAAATCACTCTTTTCACTATTTTTTATCAAACAAGAAATGTGTTGAAGAGTTTCTTCAAGTGTAGAGAGTACATCTGATTGGATAACAGTAATTTTCAATGGCATTATATAAATCACAAAGTATCCTTTATTATTTATAAGTTCTTAGACTTTTTATCAGATTTTTGATTACTCAATTTATTTCAAAAACTTTGATCACAAAAAAAATAATAATAATAAGACTTTTTAAACAGATTAATTTGATTGACGAGCACTTCGACAACGTGAACAACCACAACAGTCAGTACAAATAGGACAAATACCAGAACATTTAGTTTTTTTTAAACAACTTTGACAAAAACGATGAGATGGGAATTTGAGACACTGAAAAGATACAGGTTTTCTTTTCTTACAATAATGACAAGTAGCAAGTTGTTGAGGGAGATAAAATTCCCCAGACTTTCTTGTTTTTGTTTTTAATTTAATACTTTTTTTTTCAGGGATTGTTGGGGATTGTGTTTTAATAGAAGAGTTATCAATTGGAGATTCACTTGGAGATTCTATTGTTTCTTCTATGCTTAAACGATTTGTTATGGAAAGAAATTCTGAAAGTGGAAGTGTTTCGAGTTGTTTTGGAATTGTTGTGAAAGAAAGATAATTTCCACGTTTGTTCATTTCATAATTGACTTGATTAATCAACTGAGAAACTGAACAATTGATTGGAATTACAATTTTCACACTATCAGTATTCATTCTCCTTGAGAATAAATAAATTAGTTCTGCTTCTTTGAAAAGTAAAATGTTTCAAACAACTAAAAAGGTGGGGGTTATATATCAATTTATAAAATTAGTAATTTGTGATGAAATAGTTCTTCAGTTACTGCTTTTGATGTTATTTTCTTATTGTTTCTTTCATTTTTTAAAAAAAGACAAAATAAAAACCAAAACTTCTTTTTTAATTTATAGAACAATTTAATTTAATAAAGCGATTAAATGATCATACTTCATATTTAATACTAACCCACAAATAATACCAATTTGTGCAATATGATATGTTACTATTATTAATAAAGAAACTAGCCAAGTAGTTTTCACTAACTCATTGAAACTTACTAACAAATCACTAATGAAAAATATGAAATAACTGCCACAACATATTAATGATGAAAGCAAATTCCAAGAAGAGTCTGTTAATGTTCTAAAACAATTAAACATTCCTATAGCAACAAAAGACATATAAAGGAAACATCCATAAACAAGTGTTCCTTTCTGTTCTTTATGAGCAAGATGATATATGGTAAGTGCTCCAAGAATTGGTAATACAACAACAATATAACAAAGATAATTAATTTGAGCATCAGACTAAAAGAATATGAGTTAAATACTTTTTTTTGTGCTTTAAGTAATAACAAAATATTGTTAAAGGAAAGAAAATATAACAAACAGAAAGTGTTGTATTAAAACCGATTGAATAAAAGACGTGGGCAAATAAAAATGAAAATGCTCCAATTAAAAATAATATATGTTCTGTAAATAATAAAAAGAAGTCTCCAAGAAAACTTAAGACTAACCCCAAAATAAAATGCCAAGAAGATATACCAAGAACATTATAAGTAAATAAAGATAAAAATATACAAAAAGGTGGTTTACTAATGAATTTTAAAGTTGGTAATTTATTAAAATAAGAATACCAACAAATTAAAGCATTAATAACAGTAATTAATAATAATGAAATTGATTGAATCATGTCTTCTGATACAATTTAAGTTCAAATAAATTTATATAAGATTTTCATTCAAATAAATGGCTTGTTTATTGGTTTCTAAAGAATATTCCATTCAAAAAAGTCTAGACATATACCAAATTTTTCTTTTTGATAATATCCCTTTACATTTGATATAAATTAATTAAATTTATTTATCTAAATTAATCTTGTTCACAAACAAGTCAATTATTTGTCTGTATTGGCTCTTATTGAGTCAAAATAGGCAATTTCTTTCGTATTTAGAATTAAATAGAATCAAATAGAACTATATTCCATATAACTAGAATATTATAGATGATTTTATTTATTGTTTCTTAATTATTTCTACCATTTTAATCGATTAAAATAGTTTTGTATCTAAAAAAAATCAATATCATCTTTTTCTTTATATTTTATAATACAAATTTCTTTAACAAAACAAATTTGTGTTTCTTCTTTATTTTAATTTTCCTTACAACTCAAATAATAATTTATTCGTTGCACTAATACTAGAAATTAAATCTTTTAAATAAACTAGAATAACTTCTTTAATAATTAAAAATTGATAATTGGTTTGTATATAAATAAATTGTTTTTTATACTCTCTTTCTCCTTCCTTTTTGACTTTCCTTGAAAATATAAAATAATTTTATATTACCAAGATAGTCAAAATATGAACGTTACTTAAAGAAATAAAGTATATGACATATTCTTTATTATATTATTTTAAATCAAAAATTAAAATAAAACTCCCTTATTATCTTCTTCTTTGTTTTTATTTTTTTTTTAATAACTATCTACAAATTTGTGATTAAAAACATGAGTCAAGTATTAGTGATATGTTTATCATTGTTACGACATATAAAACTTATTATAAATACTAAAAATTTTAATAGTACTATGAATGTAGAATGTCCATTTTTTATTTTTCCTTTTAATAAATATTCTATTTACAAACAAAATTCCAATTATTCAGGACGAATCTCTTCAAAGTCATTTTGACCTCCCTTAAAATAGAGTGGCATTTCTTCAAGGACCTTATTATAATGATTTATATCACAAGTCAAACCAAGCATATCATCAACTTTTTGTTCAAAGTTTTTGTGGTCAATCCCTCTCATTGCTGCTGTAATTAAACGTACCATGTTACGATTTTGATGATTCACAGCAGTTCCTAATGGTATAAATCCATATTTATTTGTCTTTTCTAGGTCAATATGCCATCTTAATAATACTTTAGCAACATTAAAACAATTACACTCGCAACAAATATGTAAAGCATTATACCCATTAACATCACATTTATCAACATCAATTCCATTTTCTAATAGTATATTAGCCATCACAGCATTTCCATATAATGCACAATAATGAAGTGCAGTTCTTCCCATATGATCCCAATGTTCTAAATCTAATGATTTAATTTGAAGAATGTCTAAAGAAATGTCATCAAAACCTAATTCAATTGCATACATTAATGGTGTAATTCCTTCAGCATTTACACAATTTATATCCATACCCAAATTAACAAGGAACTGAATCATATCCCCTTGTCTACCTTTGACAGCAATATGTAATAATGTATTTCCACATTTATCATTAATATCTAAATTTTCTCCATTGTCTTTGTATTTCATTATTCCTCTACAATCTCCATTATAACAACAATTGATGATATTTTCTTCTGTTGATCCACTAATCTTACTATAGAAACTTGTAATTTTTTGTTTAAAAGTATTACTCCCTGGTTGGGTGGTCAAATCAGGTGTAAGGTCATCTTGAATTACTTCTGACATAATACTTTTTTTTGTTTCTTTCTTTTCTTTTTAATCTTTTATTTTCATTTTGTGATAATGAGAAAATCATATTTTTTAATTAATACTTTAAGTTCCTTTTGTTTTTTTTTGTTTTTTTAAGCAAATCGTTCAGAGAATGTTCCACTAAAAATAATGAAAATTTAAATGTAATCAACTTAAAAGTATTAGTAAAAAATGTCTGTACAACAAAAAGATAATTCAATAAATTTGAATATTGTAATTACCTCAGACACACACGGTTTTCATAGATTTGTATCAATTCCTCAATGTGACATATTGATTCATTGTGGTGATTTTACGAATAATGGAGATGAAAAGAGTGTTAGAAATTTTGGAAAATGGTTAAACAAGCAAAAGGCAAAACACAAAATAGTTGTTTTAGGAAATAATGAACGAGAGATGAATGCTCATTTACCAGAAAGTGAAAAATGGTTAACAGAAGAATGTGAAAATATTCACTTACTGCTTAATACCAGTGTAGTAATAGAGAACATTGTGTTTTATGGGTCTCTTTTTAAATTTCGTAAACCAGTTCATCTTGATATAAATGAAAATCAAGTATTGGTTTGTGTTTCTCATGAACCTCCTTATGACATAATGGACACTATGGTTGTTGATCATTGGACATTTAATTGGAAAACTTTTAAAGGAGGAAACCATAAGATAAACTCTTTTGTAAATTCTTTTCATCCTAAATTAGTTGCATTTGGTCATTGTCATAATTGCTATGGAATAATAACGATAAAAGACACAATCTATGCAAACGCCTCTTTTGTTACAGAATTTGGAATTCCATATAAAGCTCCATTACAATTAACATTTGATGGTACTAATTTCTTTTATAAATAAAAAATTTATTCTTTTCATTATAAGTTATTGCAGTCCAAATAAAATTAATAATAGTTCAAGTACTTCTTTAATATTTTATATATATTTTCTTCTAATATACTACACAATCTACTTTTATTAATATTTTTTACTGTATAGTTTGAGTTGTATCAATGATTTTCTTATTTGTTTATCTATCTTCTCCAATTCTCCTAGTTTCCATGGGACAATACAAAATCCATATCTTAATTTGGAGATTATATCATTATTAATCTTTCTTATTGTATTGAGGCTGCTGTATTTCATAGTATTTAATGATGATAAAATAGAAGATACATCATTTAATATTCTTGTACAATATTTATTAATATTTACTTTATCTCCTATTTCAATACCAAGATATTTATAATGGTTATCATTAGTTACTCTTGGTAGTTCAGATAATTCACCATTTATTTGACTATTAATATTAGTCATTATCACACTCTTCTCTACATTAATTTTTAATCATATTCAATTAAATATTTCTTTAGTTAATTTGTGTTATTTTTCCATTTCATCGAGATTATTAATTATTATCTTTAAATCATCAATATATAATATATGGTTTAACTGGATTTGTTTTTCTTCTCCATTCATTTTAATATTTAATTAGTTTATTTGTTTATCTAATTGTTTAGATAATATATCAATAGACAATAATATTATACTACAGGAACAAAAAAGGTATAGACAGTTATGTTAAAAAAAACTAATAAAAGATAATGTTATAATAATTTTATACTAACTAACCTTAATTTATACAACCATATCCACAAAAGACATTTTTTAAGAAATTTGATATAAAAAATAATTATTATAACTCTAAACAATAAAATAATATTTTTTTAGAATGATAATAAAACAAATGATTAAATTTTGTTTGTTGTAATTCTGAATATTTATATTATTATTATAAAAATGAGTAATAACGAATTAATAAGACTCATAATACAATCAATTAAATAATAATTTCCATTACCACAATAAATTTTTTAATTTAATTAATTCTATTCATTTAAAACAAAAATACTTTAATATGAATTATTTTTAATTCTTTTTCATCAATAAAGTTAGTTGACTAAATATCAAAAGTATAATTTGACAGTTTATTAAGTTTTGGATATGAAATTCATCAATTATTAGCCTTTTAATTTTTACATTGTATTTAATATTAATTCATAAAGATATCCACTTGGATGAGATAGTCGAGGATAAGCCTTTGGAATGGTTTTTATCCTTTTAAATCCAAATTTAGTATAGAACTCAATTGCATGTTTATTATCAATATGAACCTGAACTTCAATCTTTCTTATACCTTTTTCTTTAACTTTTTGAATAAAAAACTCAACAAGTTTACTTCCATATCCTTTTCCTTGAAACTTAGTATATACTGCTAATGTCATTAAAACATATTTATCTTTTTCTTTCATCCCTATAATACCTCCCACAATTTTATTGTTTTCACTAACTTCTTTTATTAACATTCTTTCAATTACCAAATCTTTAAAAATCAAATTCAAACTTTTAATAACTATTGAATCTTCTTTTTTAATTTTATTATAAAAAATGTCAGAATACATTACTGGTAATACATTACAATTCACTCTTCTAATTTCATCAATGAAATGTATTCCAATATTTAACATTATTCTTTTTTAATTCCCTTTCAAATAAAAAAATAATTCTAGTAAATTAAACTATAAAAATAATTATTATTATTATTTGTTATATATACAACAAAAAAAATTTAAAAAAAGATAAATGAGAATCCCGGAAATTTAGGGTTTTTTAAGATGGAATGAAAGTTCTAGGAAACCTACGCAACTCAACGGGAAAATAAAGAAGAGATGCATTCACCAAAATTACCTAAACCATTTGAAGAGAAGAAACGGAAGAAGATTACGGTGAAAGAAAAGAATGAGCGAAGAGAAGGAGAATTAACAGACTTAGCAAGAGGAATTTATATGAAATGGAAAGGAAGAGAACTTGTTAGAGAAAATCCAACATTAACAATGAAAATTGCAGAAGAAAGAGCATTAGAATTATGGGAAACAGAACAAGAAGATGTTATTCAAACATATTTTAAAACGGCTATAATTGAAAATGTATTATTAGGAGAAGAAGGGTATTCTATTAAGAAGAAAAAGAATGATGGAATGAAAAGAAAAGAAGAATGGCATCCTGTTTGTTTAATCATTTTGTTTTTTCAAATATTATAAAATAGAGTTAAAAACTTATTTAATAAATTAGTATTTGTTGTTTTGTAAAGAACATCGTGAAGAACTTAAACAAGAAGGTGTTTCTGGAAATGAAGTTATGACTATGTTAAGTGATAAATGGAAAGCACTTAGTGAAGATGAACGTTCTCATTATTCAGAACTTGCAAAAGAAAATAAAAAGAGAGACCTTGGTGATGAAGAAGAAAAAAAAGAATTACTTCCATCACAATTAGTTGTTCATTCTACTGACATTCCACCATTAATTAATTCAAAATAATTCTTATTTAATTTTCTTTTTTCTTTATGAACTTTTTTAAAGAATTTACAATTTTTTAAATAAATTAAATAACTTTAGAGATTTAAAGTTATTTCGTAGTTGTTTAATAAAAAAGGATAAAAATATAAAAAACTTATTTGAAAGAAAAAGAATTAAAAATAAAAGAACTAAAAAATGAATATTTATATTAGATGTTTTCATTATCTAAGTTATTCTTATTAATAACTGGAATTATTCTTGTCGTTTGTACGTTATTATTATATATAAAAAAAAAAGATAAAAAGGTATTAATAGTGTGAAATAGTTAAGTGGAGCTGCTTTATTTGTTTTAATATATATTGGACCAGTACATAATATGTCAGAACTAAAGAATATTAAGTCAAGTAATCATCTTTATATGTACTCAAAAAAGACCTATCAAATTGAAATGATGGCATGTGGAGGTATTGCTGCTTTTGTTGGAATAATTTCAATTTTAGCTGTTTTTATTGAACAAAAATGGTTAAGATTCATCACAATAATTATTTATGTTTTATTGGGTTTAACTGCTCTTGGAATGATGGGTTTATATGGATATTCATATTTCTTCTTATTAACTGCATCAGACAGTACAATGAGTTCTCATTTAACACAATACGAAAATGCTTTCCAATGTTGTGGATGGAAAACTTCTCGTGACTTCCCACCATGTGATTCTGCTGTTGGGTATCAACAACAACTTACTTGTTATAATGCTACTCAAAAAGTTCGTTCTGCTTCACTTCAAAATTTCATTTCTGGAGGTGTTTATCTTCTTCTAACAATCCTTCTTATTATATTTATTGCAATTGTTACTTTTTGTAGTGGAGAAGTTAGTAATAGTTATTCTAAGGTAGATGGTGAAGAAAATGTCAGCGATGTTATTGATTAAGAAACCAAAAAAAAACAAAAGTTCATTTTTATTTTAGGTATTTTTTCCCTTTTTTTTTGAAGAGTTGTTATTTATTTTCTTGGTTAAAAGTCTTTTTATACGAAGAAAAGTTGATTATTTTGTGAAAACATTAATTAGTAAAACGTATTAATACTTAAATTATTTGTAAATGAAAGGTGAAAGAGAAGTCTTAAAATAATTTGAAATAACATCAGTTTATTATACATCTTCTTGACTTTACTTTTATAGGTACATATTCAAAGGCTTTTGAAGAAATATTGCATTTCTTTGTAAGTCCTTTAACATAAGTCAGTGATGTACAACGACTAAATGCATGTTCTCCAATACCAAGAGGAGTTTTTAAGAAACTTATTCGTTGGAGATTTATACAATCTTTAAAAGCCTTTGGTTTAATAACATGAAGGTTTGATGGGAAGACCAAAGAACTTAGTTGAGAACATCCAGAAAATGCGTTCGAATGGATTATTTGAAGATTTGATGAGAAAGTAATATTTTTTAGTACGAAACAACAAGTAAATGAGGAAGCTGCAATGGCTGTGAGACTATTTGGAAAAAGTATTGAAGTAAGTCTTGAACAATAAGAAAATGCATCTATGCCAATTGATCGTAATAAAGATGGGAATTGAATTGAAGATAAAGAAGCGCATTGATAGAAACAACACTCTGGAATTTTTGTTATTGATAATGGGATAATAATTTGTTTAATACTATTACAATTAGTGAAAGCTCCTTTGGCTAGAGTTTTAAGTCGAGGAGGAAGTTGTATTTCAGTAATGCCATTACAAAAACAAAAACATTCTTCTCCAATAATATCTAGAGTATCTGGAAATTCAATATGTTCTAACCCTCTACAACATCCAAAAGAACGTTTTGATAATACTTTAAGAGTTTGAGGTAGTTTAATAGAAGTAATTCTGTTGCATTGAAAAAAACAAAGATCACCTATTGACGTTAAAATTGAAGGAAGATGAATAGTTGATAAACATTTACATTCTTGAAAACAACTATTTGGAAGGGATATCAAATTATCAGAAAGAATAGCAGTTTGGAGACATGAACAATTACTAAAACAATGAGATTTTATTAACTTAAGAAAAGGTGGAAGTTCAATAGCTAATAAATGACTACAATGAGAAAACGATGACTCACCTAGTTTTGTAAGTTTTGAAGGAAAATTGAATGATGTGATTGGTTGCCTACAAAATGCATTATCTCCTATACTATAAATATAGTTTTGAAATTCTGAAGTTTCAAAAGGAATATCAATAGAAGAAATTTCAATATTTTTATACTTTTTTATTGTATTTTTATATTTTAGTGCTTCACAAATTGATACAGGATACCATATTTCATATTGACAAACAGTTGGTAATAATAAATCAGAACTGGAATATATAAATTGTGTTTCTAAGTTTTGAAATAATTTAATTGTTTGTGTGGTTATAGGAATAGGATTATAATGAAATCTATCCAGTGTTTGAGAGTATGCTTTACATACTAAAATAATATTAAGAAAATCCTGATGATTTTCAAGATATTTAGACACAATCATAATTGAATATCTATCTAATTTCTTCATTACTTCTATGTATATTTGTTTTTTTTAGTTTTTATATTTTTCTATTCTTTTTTTTTGCTTTTCCACACAATCTATTGTTCTTCAAACAAATGTTTGGTTTGTTCTTAGTTTTCTTTAGAAAAATATTCACTTTTAATACATTAAATCTTTTTATTCTACTTATAGTAATTGGTGTTCTCTTTGTTAATGGTTTTGTATTTTGTTTTTGAAATTCTTGCTATCAGTTTTAATTACCTCACAAAAAAAGAATAAGAATTATCTTTTGAATATACCTTTTTTTTAAATGAAATTGACTCATTTGTACACTGTTAAGTTTTGAGTCTTTTCAAAAAAGTATGATATTTAATTGATATGAGTAAAACCATTTAATGTTTTCAGAATTAATAATTATATCAAAAATTTCTTGTTGTCAGAGAAGAAATAAAGAAAAACAAAAACATATAATTTATTTAACGTTATTTAAATCGAGTGGAGATTCAATTTTGAAATACCCACAATGATTCATTACTTTTGATTTAAGTGTGTATTTTAACGACTTAATATATGGCAATAATTGGTCTTTTGAAAAAATACATTTCCCATCTTTGAAAACTTCAGTAATATAAGTAAGTTTGTTTGTTGATTTTTTTCCTTTTTCAGTGGCTAATGTAAAAAAGTATCCATAGTCTAAAAGAAGGTCTTGAAGAAAGTGAATTGTCTCTATTTTTTTATTTACTTCAAGTCTTCTTTGAGCTGTTTTTAATGGAATTCCATTTGTAATATCATTGTTATAAATTTCATTACATCTTTTAATGATAAAATCTTCTACTTCAAAACTTTCACCATTTTTGAAATGAATATTTTTGACTTTGATAAATTCCATTGTAATGTGTGATTTTTTAATAGGTAATTTTATAACTAAAGACACATAGTGTGAAAGTAATCCAATACAGAGTAATTGTTGGAAACTCTTTTTTTCTCTATTTGTTCTTGAAGCTTTAATTAACTCTGATTTTTTACAAGACATAAAAGAAAGGTTATCATGTATTGTAAGTTCTTTTGAAAAGTCTTTTGGGGTAGATGTCTTTAAAACCTTTTTTGGTGATTCCATCAAATAAAATAATTTTGAAGTAAGATTTGATTTATCTGAAAGTGGAGTATTCTATAAAAGTCTTAAAAATAGAATTATAATTCCAAAATTTACTTTAGAACTTCGATAGGAGTTGTTAACTTAACAACTAACCCTCCTCTATTTATATTTCAACCGTTATTGGTTACTAAATGATAAAAAACATATTATTAATAAAGTCAAAATAAAGGATAAACAGTTTTACAAGTTATTTTTTAGTTTTGAAACACTCAAATAACTGAACGTTCAAAACACTTTATTTAGTATTTCATTTATTTTATATTCTTGTTTAATAATTTTCTAATTATTAGAATAATAACCAACTAAGATTCAAATTGGGTTTTTTTTTATCATGTTTCTATGAATAAAATAATGTTTTTGCAGAATTTTATAGAAAATAAAGAATTAGCATTTTTTCATAAATAGTTTAGTATTAAAATTTTAAATCAAATAAATAGTCTTGAAAATAAATTAAAACTTAAAAAAATTATTAAGCAAAAAAAAAGAGAAAAACAAAAAACTGTTATTTATTTTATAGTTTTGGGTTGAATGGAAATACCAATTATTATAACAACATTAGTTCAGACTATTCAAACTTTAATGGGACCTGAATTTACTATTCTTCCTTTTTTGTTTGTATCAACAGGAATATTTTATCCAATTTTAGTTTTATTAAGTGGTATTATTTCTACTATATCCTTATATTTATATCGTGTAATACAACAAAACTCTGCATTATATACAATTACTGACCTTTCTCAACATAATGGTGGAAGAACTGTGTTATCAATAACAAAAACAATGAGAATATTTTATAATATATTGTTGTTGGGAATTATCTTAACAATTGTTTCTTCTTCAATAGAATCTTTAATACTGACAATGACACATTCAGATCATTCTCAATGGTGGAAAGGAAATTCAATTATTAAGTCTTTAGTCATAACATTACTTACTCCATTATGTTATCTTTTCTCTTATTCAAAACTCTTAACACTAGTCAGTTTATATTCTTGTTACCTTTTACCATTTCTTTTTTTCTTAGGTTTTGTTTATTCATTGGGTTCATTATATATAAATGGTATAGCAGCAAATACTAATGTTGTTGATAATATTTGGAGGGATATTGGACATCACCATATTTTTCCTTCATACTCCATGCTTATGTGTATATTTGCTCCTTTCAAACAAAAGATTAATGAACCTAGTGAATCACCATTAGCAGTAATATTGTCTTATATAATTGTTATATTTTTTGCAATTGTTTATGGAGTTTGTGTAGGCCTTTCTTTAGGTCCATCAACAACAAGTATGCCATTCTCTTCTTATCTTATTATAAACCAATCAAATCCTTCAATGCATTCACTTGCAGTTATTTTAAA